TCCTTCCCCCGCGCACGTGAGCCCCGCCCGCCGCTCTCGGAGCCTCGGAGAGGACGCGGGGTGCGCCGGCCCCCCGGCCGCTCAGGAGCCCCCCCGCCCGGGCGCTCACCTGCTTGGAGAATGGGCCCGACCAGCAGAGGGAGGGGGCTGGGCGCCCCAGGTGCCTGGGAGCCAGGGGTCGGGTGGTCCGTCCCTGGACCCCCGGGCTGCCGCGGAGGGAGCGGGCGTCAGGTGGAGGGCAGGGCCTGGGCAGGTGCGCCCGCGTGGCAGGTGATCCTGCCCAGAGGGCAGGGCAGGGTTGCAGGGATCTGCGGAAGCAGCTGCACAGGGCGGGAGAGCTTCGGAGAAGGGGTGCCCTGTGTGAATAACTACAGCATTTTTTTTTTTTTTAAATATATCTTTATTGATTTCAGATTGATGNACCCGCACCCCACCCCCACCCCCAGGCTCCGGGCTGAGGCACCACGCTGGGTTTTAGTCTCACTAATTCACAGAACTGCAGGCGAACTGCCGTAGGGGATGGGGAGCCGCGGGACCTCCTGCCCGCAGCGTGCACCCGCGTGTGCGCCGCATCTACACTGACCACCACGTTCACACACCCCGGAGGTGTCTACACAGCCCGTCTGCGCCCACACAGCCTGTCCACGCGTCTACAAAGCCGCGTCCACACAGCGCGAGGCCCGAGAAAACTGAGGGAGGGGCCGCCCTGCCCCATTTCAGGAGGGGGCGCCGCGCTCAAGGACCCCGGACTCACCGCGCTCCGCTCCGCCGAGGCTGCACCGCGTCAGGCTCCCGCTGCGCAAACCAAGCCCTGGCCTTAGGGAGCCGGGCTGGGCTGGGGCGGCACCTGGGCTGGGGGCGGNACATCAATGATGAGAGAGAGTCATTGATTGGCTGCCTCCTGCACTCCCCCGACTGGGTATTGAGCCCGCAACCCAGGCATGTGCCCTGACCGGGGATCGAACCCTGATCGCCTGGATCCTAAGTCGATGCTCAACCGCTGAGCCACGCCCGGCTGGGCAACTACAGTATTTTTTAAAATAAACTTGATTTTAGAACAGTTTTGGATTTACAGAAAAGTCATGAAAATCGTACTAGAGTTTCCATGTACCTGGCACTCAGTTTCCCCCATTATTGACATCTTACATTAGCTGGGACGTGGTCACAATTAACAAACTAATATCAACACATTATTAACTAACACATATGCTTTATTAAGATTCTTCAGTTTCCCCGAACTCTGTCCAAGGACCCCACCTGACAGGTGACTCATCCCCTCTAGGCTGTGACAGTTTCTCAGACATTCCTCTTTCTGGATGCCCTGGGCAGTAGTGAGGAGGAGGGGTCAGGAGTTTGGTAGATGCTCCTCAATTGCCCCATTTGGGGTTCTTCAGGTGTGTTTCTCAGTCTGGCTAGGACAATGGCTTGACCCCCCCTTTTTTTAAATTGATTTCAGAGAGAGGAAAGGAGAGGGAGACAGAGAAAGGTCAATGATGAGCGTCTTCAATCGGCTGCCTTCTGCATGCCCTCCACTGTGGAGTGAGCCCACCACCTGGGTTTGTGCCCTGACCAGGAATTGAACTGTGACCTGGTTCGTGGGTCAGCGCTCAACCACTGAACCACACCAGCTGGGCTGTCTTGATCTCTTTTGATGCACAGGGCAGTCCATCCTCCCATCCCACTTCCATCTTAGATTGCCTGCCCTCCCTCCCTTAAAACCACCATCTTTGCTCAGGACACTTCCAGGATATTCTGAACTAGTTGTTTTACCACCGTTGGCTGCAACATCTTTGTGCCCTAAATAGTGATTTACTGTTTTGGGAAGTGCTAGGGGAGCTGTACCTCAGAGTTCCAGCTGTCTGCAGCAGGGTCCATTTATTGAGCACATGCAGATTCTCTCTGGTGCTCAAGATGATCCTGCAGAAGTAGCTGTCACCCCTCTGGCAGGGTGCCCAAGAGGGCAGTGAAATGTCCAAAGTCACCCAGCTCCAGACCTGGGTTCTTCCTACTGTTCCCTCCTTTGAGCCAGGACAGCTGTGTGGGGAGGAGCCTGCAAACCCTGGGGGCCACCCTCCTCTCTCCCAGGGCATCCACTGGGCTCTTTCTGGAGCTCCAGCCCCTTCACCATCTGGTGACATGCCAGTGCCTTCCACACATTGCTGGCAATCCCCTCCCCTCTCCAGCCAGGGCCCTCATCCTCCATCCTTGAATGCTGGAACCAGGCAGGCTCACCTCCCCACCTCAGCCTAGAACCGCCTCTCCTGAGTCCCTTGGGCTCAGCTAACAGTTGCCTCCTCTGGGTTGCCTTCCCTGATACCTGCCTTCCAAGATGGAGCTGAGGGCCTCTCCTGCACTGACCTGTGTCCTGTACTTCCTCACCAGGCTGAGCCACCTGGGCCAGAGCAGGATCCAAAACTCACACATTCATCCCTGGGCCCATGCAGGGGACCTGGCACACAGCAGGCACTCAATGAAGACTGGTTGAGTGAGTGAATGAATGAATGAATGAATGAGTGGATAAATGAAAAATGTGTAGGATCTAGCCTTAGTAAAAGGGAATCACTGTGCTCAAGATGCTCAGCTGTGCACCTCAATGGAGCAGAACCAAAACATGCTCTTTCTAGAGCTAATGTGTAGCTACTGCTTCCACTCTGAAAAGTGTGTGGGGCTCTCCCCACCCGGGCACCTGTTGGGCTCCGCCACCCTCACAAAGGCGTCACCCACCATCAGTTGTGTAGGATGGACAGGCCACCAAGTCAATACAACTACTCAGTGACACCCAGGCACCTGACCTCAGGGTCATCCCCCGACCGGCGGCAGGTATGTCATCACCCCCATGTCACAGAGGACTCAGAGGGTAAACAACCTGCCTAAGATAGCTCTGAGGCACTCCTTTTAGAAAAGCTTATTGGAGATGACTAATAGTTAACATTTACAAACAACTGTGATTTTAAATATTCTAGAATTACCTTGTAGTGATTAAGCCATCCCTTCCCAGCTGGTTTAAACTAGGCTTTGCAGTGTCTGCCCTAAACGTCGCTGATGGTTATATCTGTTTTCTGTTGGTCTCATAGGAGTTGGGGTTTTTGCCCAAGAAGGGGGTTGGTGACTCTGGCACCTGGAGGGTTCCACCCATCTCTGCTGGAATCTCTGCTGGCCCTGTGCAGGCTGGTTGGATTTGGAGACATGCCTCCTGTATATATGTAAAGAAGGGGTTGGTGGCCCGGCTGGCATGGCTCAGTGGTTGAGCATCCACCTATGATCCAGGAGACTGAGGTTTGATTCCGGGTCAGGACACATGCCCGGGCTGCAGGCTCAATCCACAGTAGGGGGCGTGCAGGAGGCAGCTGGTCAATGACTCTCATCATTGATGTTTTTCTCTCTCTCCCCCTCCCTCTCCTCCTCTCTCTGAAATCAATAAAGACATATTTAAAATTAAAAAAAAAAATAAAAAGAGGTTGGCGACAACAGAACATTTGTCCCAACACTCTGGCCAGCTCCCTTGGCTGCAGAGCCCACATCTTTATAATCTGCATTATTGCTGGGGGTCTGCACTCTGGAGCGTGTCAACCAAATCTGGCCCACTGCCTGTCTTTGCATAGCTGCTTGCTAAGAACGAGCTTTATGTTTTTGAATAGTTGGAAAATATCAAAAAGAATACTTCATGATCTGTGAAAACTACATAGAACTCACATTTCAGTGTCCACCAATAGTTCTGGCCACAGTCACCCTGTTTGCTCACACGTTGTCTGTGATGCTTCTGGCCCCAGCAGCAGAGCTGACTACTTTTGACAGATGCTGTGTGGCCTGAAAAGTCCCAAATATTTGCCATCTGCCTTTATGGCAGGTCTGCAGCCCCTACTATAGGCGATTTCCTTCCAGACTTCTTAGATAACCACAAATAAACTAACAGTATCCAAGACATGGGGAATAGACTTCCTTCAACTGTGAAATGCCATTTAATATGACACCACACCCACACAACAATCAGCGGCATTGCAGCAAAAGCCCAGCTTCAGCACCAGCCAGCACAACCTGTGGATTTGCCCAATACCTACAAGCAAGTGCCCATGCAGGACAGCCCGACCCACCCAGCTCCACTATGCATCCCATGGTGTGCCAGACTCCACCAGCTCACTGCACCTCAGAAAAGGCAAAAGTTGAGTCCTACATATCAAAAGCTGTGTTTAATTATAAGATTCTAGTAGAAGCAAGGCCAAAACTGCAAACAAAAACTGTAGGAACATCACCTTCGAATTCCGTGACATTTGTCTAATTTTCAAAACAAAAAAGATTCCCATCTTTGACACCAATGTACAAAATGGCTTAGATTAAGGCGCAGGCCAAGGGTCAGATAGGGTCCATGTACATCCTTTGCCCAGGCCGCCCCATGGCTACATCCAGGTCCTGGCCCCCAAGTCCAGGAGTTCCATGGGGCCAAAGGTCTAGCTGCTCTCCCTCCCAGGGGAAACACATGGGAAACAGGTGGAAGACATCTTTTGTTTTGGGGGGAATATTTCTCCCTTGAGAAGTGTGGCTAACAAAGATGGTTTGCAAGTCTGTCTGTCGCTGGTATTTTTGGAGTGGGTAATGGTTTGGTCCCGTGCCCGTGGTCTATGAGAGACAGGACCGGAACCACGTGGCTGGAGGGTCTGTGCCTTCACATCACACCAATGGAAACACCTGAACATGAGTCTAGAGGTTGCATGGATGGATGGGGAAGAGCAAGGCCCCAGGGCCACAGACAGTCCTGGCGGTCCGTAGCCCCAAGGCACCTGTCATTGGCTTCAGAGTGGTGGTGACACATGCAACACGATGGTAGAGGGACGGTGCCAGGGAATGGGGGCTGCTGGGCCAGCTCTACCACGGCATGTTGTGAGGTTCAGAGGTAGAAAACAAAATGCCAGTTCCAAAATATTCTCCCACGTTCCAGAAGCTCCTCGCAGTGTGCTCGCCTTGCTCATGTTGCAGCTGGAGGCCAGCGAGTTGTCTTTGTTGGGATAGTGTTAAGAACGTGCAGACGCCCATGATGTGGAAAGGGAAGCCCCAGTCCCTCTGCGTTGAGGCAGTGGAGCCTACACAAAGGGCAGAGCCGGCCGTTGAGGGCTCCGGGGTGCTGGGCCATGTGGACCCCAAGGGCCTGGCCACCCAGTCTGGCACCCAGCTTGCCTCCAGGAAGGGCAGTCCAAGAGAGGCAAAACCAGTGGAATTTCAGAAAGTAGTGGCTGTTTATTAAGACATGGAGGGACTGGATGGAGCACAGGCTCCAGACATCTCCCAGGCTGATGGAGGAACCAGGGTCAGGCTCAGACCAAGAGCCCCTGTCCATTTACTGCCAGCCTTGCTCGCAGCTCTTAGCCTGGCTCCCCAACCTACCCAGAGGTGGGTCCAGACCCCATGCCAGCCAGGCTGAGGGCTTGAGTCCACATCTCCGGGCCGGGCTTTCAGCATCCAGGCCAGGAGTACCGCAGAAGGAAAGCCATGGCCTTCAGGGGCAGACCATTGCCCTCCTGCCCAGGACAGGGCATCTTCAGGAAAACCTGAAGGAAGCAGCAGCGTGGTATAAGCACCAAATGTGGCAGATCTGCAGCCATCGGCGGGCAGAGGTGACGCTTCCTGTCCTGTCTGAGGTTCCACCAAGACACTCCGACTAGGAAGACTATGGGCTGGGCTTGCAGGATGGGGACCTCAGTGGTCCAAGGGGCTGCGGCAGCCACATGAGCTGGGAGCAGGGCCAGGGGTCCAGGTGCAGCTGGGCCTGATGAGGCAGGAGATGTGAGCATCGGCCAGACCAGAGCACCAAGTTGGGGGATGGCAGGTCCAGCCTTTGGGGGGACGGCAAGGGACTGAGGCTGTACTGCCCTCCTAGGCTGAGGTGCCTGGCAGGCCTGTAGGCTCAGGGGTATGACTGACAGGACTTGTGGGTTCCTGGGTGGACACATCGGCCACATCCTTGGGATGAGCCAGTTCTGGAGACTGCTCTTCGGGCAGCGTGGACTTGACCTGTGCTTCTGGAGGCTGCTGGGAAAACACAGCCTCAGAGTCTTTCAGAGGCTGTGGGCCTTCGGCTGAGGCTGGTACCCAAGTAGGCTGAGGTAGATCCTTCTGCAAGAGGAGAGAGCCAGCGGTAAGGTGTGGGTGAGGCCAGTGAAGCCTCGGGAGAAGAGGCGGAGTCACTGTCCGAGGGTCAGGCTCTAGGCCCAGAATAAGCAGGTCCAGTCCCGCCGGCCAGCATGTAGGCCACAGGAAGAGTACCTGAAACAGAAGCCTAACTGACATCACTGGCTTGTCCCCCCACTCCTGAACCTTCCAGAACCAGCCCACCAGTTCTGTGGCAAAGCCAATGGTAGTCGGGACTGAGACCCTTTGAGGACTGTGAGCACTAGCCCAGGAGGCCTTCCCCAAGGGCCTGGGAAAGGGTCTGGCTCTGGGTTGGGTTAATCAATCAGTTAGACCTGGAGCTCTGCTCCTTTCTGGCATAACACTACATTTAACGGTATCGCTGAGCATGGCGTGTGTCACAGGTGGGGAAGCCTCACTGATGCCCCCTCCTTTGGGCAGTGTGCTGAGTTGATCTACAGGCAAGGAAAGGCTGGGCTGGCCCACACTCCCCTGCTGTCACTCATTTATGGCTGGGCCTGAATGAGGTGCTAGGTCCCCTACAGAGCCCAGAGCCTGAGCTCTGACAGCTCTTACCCTGGCAGAGGGGTTTCAGTGCTCCCCCCAGCTTAACACTGCATTCTCAATGGTGAAAGCAGTTGGAAGCCAATGCCCAGTCAAGTGGGGTGCTACTGTGCTGTGGGACCAGCACCATCCTCAAGTCACACCTGGCTCGATAGCCACACATTATCCCCTCCACGGGGACAGCTGGGAGCCACCAGAGCAACATGGACACAATACCCAAATCAAAATCTTTTGGAAATGGGGAGACACCAACCATGGGATGGGGGCTGCAGGGTTTAGTTGTAAAACTAGAGGCTTTACTCAACTTTAATTCTAGTTAGGGCTTATGGGTTATTATTTCTTGCAGACAGTCATAGCAAACTGGTATTCACCGCAAAGCCACTGCCAGTCCAGAACATGCCCAGCTCCCCACGCCACAGGGCCAGGGCGCCACTGGTGATCAGCGTGCAGGGCACCAGGTAGAGGAGGGCCGGCTGGCCACGTTGCATGAGGGCCAGGGCCATGAACGTCACAAGGAGGCCGATGCCATAGGCTGGAGGGACAGAGATAAGCAGTGTGTTACCTGGGCCAGCAGTCCCCAAGGCCACCCCCCCC